AGAAAAAGACGTTTTGGCTATGACAGTGGAACTGAGTGGCACAAGCGAGGGCCTGAGGAGGCTTATCATTAAATTGCGAAGCTGCTACATGGTTCTAACGAAAATTTGATGTGAATCCGAGTTGGATTCCATACCCGAACTGAAGTTATTAGTTATCCGATTGCCCAGACGTTTACATCGCACGTGAGCCGAGATGGTGGACGGGATCATATCCAGTGACGGGCGGTAATGGTTCGTCGACTATATTGAAATGATAGAAGCAGAGTCAAGGATTCAGAATAGCACTTTGGAAGGCTAGTGGACACAAGACGTTCACCGGACGCTAATCGCTTTCGAGGTCCTCGGCGGAACACGCATATGAACGTCACTACGGCTAGACGAAGATCAGCATCAATACAGAACTTTCAGTGCCATTTGTGTCCGAAACCACATCCAGTTACTAAATGTGAATTAAAGCTTTATTATAAGTGCAATAAATATGGACATCTGGCACTGGGATGTGAAGAAAATGGTAAATGCTTGGTTGATGGTTGCAACGGCAAGCACCATAGCCTCTTTCACTTGTCGCCTAGGAATCAATTGTCCGCGAATGTGCAAGCAATCGTGGGGGATTCCTGTTCTGCGCCAAATGATATTACTTACCTAGGAATGGTCCCGGTAAAAATAATGAACGGCGACAAATCGTTGAAAGTATATTCCTTGCTAGATAGCGGCTTAGATACCCCAATAGTTAGTAAGGAAGTTTCTGATTTGTTGGGACTAAATAACCCGGGAGTAGAAATGAAAGTTCACACCGTGGCTGGAGAGTGACATTTAGTTAGTCAAAGGGTATCATTCTAAGTTAGGGATCATAAAACATCAAGGTAAACACTGCTTGCATTGTGGAAGGTCTATTAATGCAAAGAGCTCAGGAACCGGCTAAGAAACAAACGGCTCGATAAACCCACCCAAAGAGTATAGAAAGGGAGCATCTGATCAACCCTAGGGTTCAGTTTATCATTGGTTGTGATACCCCCCTCCAAGCTCATTGGGTGATTAATGGTCGATACGGCGAGCCGAACGAGCTCTTTGCGATCAAAACTACGTTGGGATGGTCGATTAGGGAGCCGTCCTCCAGCGTAACAGCTTGCAAACAAATGTTTGTCGTTACCTTGGAGAGTAAAACTAGCACCATGTTGGAGGATTTATACAAAAAGGAGTTTCAAGACCTGCTTATATCACTCCGAGGAAGATCGTCGAGCGTTACAAATAGCAGAGGAATTGATAAACCATGATGGACAATGAATTAGAATCAGAATAATGTGAAAGACTAAACCAGAGACCATGCGAAACAACTACGAGTTAGTGATTATGAGGTTAGAATGCCTGAAACGCAGGTTTATGCAAGATCCAAATTTGCTAGGTACAACAGTTTATTGGGCGACCACTTTCGAAAGGGTTTTTTCGACCGCGTACTTGACTATCAACTGGAAGTCGCGTACAGACCCGTACAGACCCTACCACATCATCCGGTGGTTAACCGCAAGAAACCTCAAAAAGTTAGAATAGTCTTTGATTGTTCAGCCACCTATCAAGGCAATTGTCTTAACCAACATTTATTGTCAGGACCAAATACCGTAGCTAACTTAGTTGAAGTACTGCTGCGCTTTCGCTTAGGCAAAGTTGCTGTAGCAATCACGTACAAGAGATGTTTTTGCGGGTTAGAGTGCCTGAACGTGACTCGGGGCATAAAGGTTCCTATGGTGGCCTGATGGAGATCTCAATCGACAACCAAAGGAGTATAGAACTTTGGTTCACCCGTTTGGTGCCGCCTCGTCGCCATTTTGTGCGAACTACTCCCTACGCCGCACGGTCGAATCATTCCCAGACATAGGCAGTGATTGGGTGAGATGTGCATTTGGATGATATTTTTACGTCAACGACTGTTTAGAATCGTTTGACGGTGCTGAGCAAGCAATGCTTTTCGCAGATCACTTAAGAGTGGCGCTTAGCAATGGGGGTTTCCGGCTATGCAAGTGGTTGGGCAACTGCAGTAACACCATAAGCAATATTCCGAAGAGCGAAATCGCGGTTAGCTTTTGCACAGCTAAATATGAATCTAGATGCTCAGGAGCGTACTTAAGGCATGAATTGGCTTTTTGCTGACGACGACTTTTTCTTCCCGTTTGAAGCAATCCGGAAACCGTTCACTAAAAGAATGTGCAACCCCACGCGAGGAGGTTGATGTAGAGACCCAAAAAATGTGAGTTCCCCTCGGGTGCTCCGCCTGAGGAGAAATTAGAAATAGAGAAACGTAAGGAAAGGGTGACACAGCTGTATACAAATACTTGCAGTATCAGAAACAAGTGGGCCGAGGTTCTGATGGCAGCAGAGACCCATACGGCTACCGCGTTAGCCATAACAGAAGCCTGGCTCTCAGAGAGTGATTCAAATTCTAGCTTAGTTCAAGATAACATTGTTACCCACAGAACGGATAGGGGCAGCTCTGTACATGGAGGAGTAGCGCTGATATTGAAACCCTACTTGNGCTCAGTAGAATTGAATACTATGGTTTTACGCTCAACGTGCAACTATTTGCACTGGACCTTATCATAAATAGCAGAAAAATACCCATTACCTGTGTGTATAGGGGTCCTGGTGTCACAAAACCAGGGGACCAACATATTATTCAGGCACTTACAACCTAGCTCGAAATTCCACCAGACTGATCGGTATGAGCGACTTCAACCCTAGGTATGTTTACTGGGAGCTCGGGAGGTGTCCTCAAGGTTCAGGCGAAAGCTACCTCGAATGGATTCACTCCCTGGCCCTTTATCAGCAAGTGAAGGAGAACACCAGGTATCGAGAGGGCCAACAGCGGTCGTTGCTGAACCTGATCGNGGAAGAAGAAGGACAAAGTCTAGAGTATCTCCCTCCTATTAGTAAAAGTGATCATCCTCCAATCAAGATGACACTTCAGTTGAAATTACCCAAACCCCGTGAGGGAATGTGTAATGAGTTTGGGAGGATTTACGTGAATCTACTCTGAGCTGCGGCAATTCAGCTGAGTTGGTACAGTTTGGAGCAGCACGCTGACGTAGAGCAACGCTGGAGTATAATAATAAACCACCTGGTGAACGTTTTGGATGAGTTTGCTCCCCTAACCCACAAAGGTTCAAGGAAGAAGCCGCCATGATGGCACGCTGCTGTACAAAGGGCGAAATGGAAGCTGGAAAGATTTCCGAGCTTCGGGGTCCCATATGGCTTGGAGACAGTAAACGACTCATCGTAACGAAGCGGTTTCGCTCATTAGAAAGGGTAAAACGGACTATGATTTGAAACTAGCCAGCCGAGCCAAGGAGCCGAAATGCTACTTCAGCTACGCCCAAGGCAAGAGCCCTAACAGAAGGATGATGACACCTCTACAATTGGATGGTAGAACCGTCATCGATGACCAGGAAAAGGTAGACGCCTTCTGCAAATACTTAAGTAGTGTGCATAGAGTAGATCGCGGCGATCTGGCACTACCGGATTTCGCCCCCCCCAACAGAGGATTCTTATGTGTGATTAAAAGTAGTTTGTCGGATATTAGCTGAGCTGAGTTGCTGTTGGCTTAGCTGAAACACAAGGGGATGGGCGGGAAGAAGCATAACTGGATCAGTGAATTCTTGATCGATCTCATGTTTTACAGGAGGATTGGAGACAAAGTATCAGCCCAAACCATACCCAATAGTGGAGTACCACAGAGCTCAGTGCTTGGTCCCTTACTGTTTCTCATTTTTATAGACGACTTGGCTGCCATCGTACGTTCGTCATGCTTCATCTTTGCAGATGATTTCTAGATAGTGGGCGTGCAACGGACGTACAACGCTAAAAGCAGCTCGCCGATGGGAGGTTTTCGCCTGCCGAGAAGTCTCCACTCATGAGCAGATATTTCGTCTTTATGAATGCCTGCGGCGCAATCTACTTTCACGGAGCGTATACCACAGACCACCGATCAATCACCCAGAGGCCTGTAGGATTTCACACCAATTCGGAAGGCGCATGGTGCGCATGATGATCTCGGATGCTCATAGACATCTTATAAAGTACAAGGAGGTTATACAAGAAGAACAAGAGAACTGTCGAACTATGTTGAACTAACCGCAGATGGAACAGTTTGAAGATGCAATAAGTCGACGCGTCAAAAATGTCAAAAGAAAAATAAAACTGGCACTCTCAAGAAAGCTCCACAAGTTGGATGATCATGTGCTAACCGAAGAAAATGAAAACTGGGTCCGAAATCTCTCTAATTGCGTGATCACACAGGATGAAAAACGAATCCTCAATAAAGGACTCAACTTCGACGTCAGAAATGCCACAAACAAGGAATACTTGGCGGAACTGGAACAAACTCTTAAGTCGTCCACTATACCCGAGGATGCGAAACAAACCATCCGACAAACAGTCGTTGCAGCCCTGATGCAAAAAGAAAAACCCAATATTCTATCGAACTGCGAGGACGAAGCACTCAAAACACTGAAGATGGACAAAAATATCGTCATTCTACCAGCAGATAAAGGATGAATTACCGTGGTTATGGACAAAACTGACTACATTCAAAAGGCTAGACAACTACTCTAAGACACAAACCTACCGCAGAATTGACACGGATTCCACTGCAAAACTAGAAAATAAAATCAATGCCACATTGAAACGACTGGAAGAACTGCATCAAATAACCAAAGCAGAGCACTGGAGGATGAGAGCCAAAACCTCCGTTATTGCACAACTCTACGGACTGTCGAAGAAACACAAGGAAGGAATTTCCCTGAGGCCGATCATCTCCCTTCCAGGAACAGCCACATACAAGTTGGCAAAAGAATTATGGAACCGACTGAAGCCGCTCATCGCTGGTCTCGTTTGACGTCACCGCTTTGTTCACTTCAACCGACTTGAACCTGGCAAGATCCACGTTGCGGGAACTGATGACTAAGCTTCCACCGAACTCAACAACGGAACCAGCTGCCATTTGCGAACTCATGGAACTATGCATGCAGACGTACTTCAAATTCGAGGGTGGAATCTACGAACAGCTAAAAGGAACACCAATGGGATCGCCAATTTCTGGATTCATAGCCGAAGCCATAATGCAGAAGCTGGAGAAGAAGGTACTACCAAGAATCATGCCAAAACTTTTGCTCCGATACGTTGATGACATATTCATCATCTTGAAGAAGTGGGGCTTGAGGGCCAGCGCCTAGAGCTACCACCTGACCGGCTTTGGACTGGTGGGATCGTTGATATATCATCCGATCTACGGAGTGGCAGTTCCTTACCTTAATGTTGTGAAAAACTACTTATACTACTGCGTAGTTCGCATGCATCAAGAACCGATTATTGGATTCCCACGGAATTCGAGAGTGGATTGAAGGATTTACTTTTATGACTACAGAAAATGCACATATACCATTGAAGTGATCTACTAATCATCTTGTGTGCCTGTAGAAACATTTGTTCCAAATGATACATTTTGTTTTGTGTGAGTCAATTTACCGATACCCTTAGAATTATTTGTAATAAGTAATTCTCCTCCTCCCGGCACTGCCTTATGGGAGTAAAACACTAGTAAAAGTAACATAAAAATGCCCATGACTACACCGTTTTCCGACAGCAATACTTTCTCTCCAACTTCTCACATCCACTACCCGATGTTTGTGATCTCAATCGCAGTGAAGTTGACAAGAAAAAAGTGCAAACCAAAAGGCCTGAATTCGCTTCCAACCGGACTGCCCAGATACTTGATAGTACTGTCATCTTTTGTGTGATAGAAACAAACCGTTCTCGTCTCGGCCCCGATTTTACTAGTGCCAAAGCTATCGGACGAAAGCAGACCAACGAGCGGGCCATATCAGGCCAGGGTGATGCTCACCATGACAGGAGAAGAATTGTTCGTTCCACGTTTTAGGGATCGTGCAAATGAGAATGCGGCTAAGGTGTCATCGTCGGATGAAATATTGCCGAGGTGACAGGTTATGTCAGCACGTTTTATTGTAGTATTCGGAACAGGAATAGCGCGAACTCGGAATCGGACTGAAAACCCTCTGAATAGTGCAAAACTCAGGTAGATTATTCCGTTTCTTGAATGGTTACCTGGAAGCTGTGCCGCGGTGCGTGCGCACTCGTTACACTATCACCAAATGTGGCTAAGGTATCATCTTCGGATGTAATATTGCCGAGGTGAACGGTTATATGAGCACGTTTTATGTACGGTAGGCGCTTTAAGGATAAGCTCATATTGTCTATTGCACTGAAGAAGAGTCATCACTGAAGGAAACCAGAACTCTCTAACGGAAATTCCAGGCGATTAACAATGACACTCCCTAAATGCCAAATCCATCTGAATGGGAAAAAACTACTCATGTGTCAAGAGACTGAGTGGATATGCATTGTGTGACCAAAATCTAGAACCTTCTAGGGTATATTCTCATCCAACACAGAGGGATTTCGAA